TTCCCTACAGTTTTCCTACGTCCATGGACCTGTTATCTATTAGAAAGAACTCCTGCTATGCTAGAATTGTTAACTAATAATAGATATCCTCGTGGGCAAGGCAAAACCTATGGGCATGAAGAATTCATAGGCAAAGTTTTCCTGTTTGTAAAGATTTTGGAGTTATGTCTATTGACCTGATAGGAAACAGCATATGTGGTGTTTTAAATTCTTGGTAATAACCAGGCTCTATTGGCCAAACCACCTCTCCTTTTCTCCCTAATAGATGCATTAAGTACATCTCGCGAGATTGCTTAGTGAAGTCAGTAGTGGTTCATGCTTCACTGCACTAGTCTTGACAGCTTCATGGCTTTTTAAGTGACATTTGCATTATCATATGTTCTCTTGTTTGCACATTCAATGGTCTTACAATTTTGTTACTAAGTTTGTGTTCCCCAGTCACTTAAGGACTGTCAAGACTATAAAACTAGTTCAAAATATCTTTTGAAATAAGGGTGTCAAATAATAACATCTCAGCTAGATGCTCTCCACGTGTAGCCAATCTATGTCAGGAAAAATGGGGGAGGCAGTGGAAAATTTTATTCATTGATCTGATAATCTTGTCAATTTAATCGCAGGAAATTTCTATCAATGCCCCATCCAATGCTTTCAATAACTAAACTATGCTTAGAAATTTTTAAACTGAGACATGTTTTATTTCGCTAATACTTTCCTGTTTCATAGTAGATGAAGTGAAGTTGTACGATAAAGATGCATGTTTTTCTCTACATGAAAACTCCACATTCAATTAAATTATCTATTGAAAACCTTAGGCAAATGATTTGTTAGGCTAGGCATAGGAATATCCTTCCAGAATACTTATTGAGTAGCCAAGTCTAATGAAGTATAGTTACATAATCAAAAAGTCGTGGAAAATTAGTTTGAGTGCTTCTTTTTGCTTGGATGTATTTGCTTCCTAACATTTAATCTGGGTTAGGCTACATAGATTGTTTGATGTTCATTTGTAATTGTGTGCTTTTATGCTCATTGGATTTTTTTGGGTATAATTCAGTGCCGACTACATGAATTGGCAAACAAGCGTAGAATTTCAGTTACAGGGGCATCAAAGCTTCTGGCAAACATTCTGTTCTCTTACCGTGGAATGGGCTTGTCTGTTGGGACAATGATTGCTGGTTGGGATGAAACGGTAATGACATTTGAATGTTACCTTGCCATGTTTTCCTTTAGTAACTTGCATCACCTGTGGTATATTCTCTTTGTTGCAGGGTCCTGGACTATATTATGTGGACAGTGAAGGTGGAAGGCTGAAAGGAACAAGATTCTCTGTCGGATCTGGTTCTCCATATGCATATGGTGTACTGGATAGTGGGTGAGTGCACTTTCCTGTTAATGATTTTTTCTTATTGTTGACTGTCATCTGACAGAAGTATTCCTGGAAAATAAGTTTTTAAGCATTTGTTGATTAGATAACTAGCCTTTAGCTTGAGTCTCTGTCTTGTTTGAAACATCCCATGGAAACACTTGGAAAATAGGACAGTGAAGAAGAAAGAAAAGAGCAAGAAGCGCATGCAAATGCTGAAATAAATGTTGAGGATGATTAATACCCCTGTAAAAATTACGTGTTGGCTAAAAAAAGAAACAACTTATAAGAGATGCTCAAGAATTGAGAAGACAAGATTGTAGGATTCTCTGTGAGAGCATGAGAAGCATATTGTTCATTGTGAACATTTCACTCATGATTAAAAAAAATGATTGGGAAGTGGATTGTCTATGGTCCAACACATTTCATCCAGTGTTTAGGTGATTATATACGTATCTTTTTAGCCTCCCTCCCCTTTTCCGCTGAAGAAAATGTTGTGGAGTAAAATGTAAAAAAATTTAAATATGGAGCACATAGGTGTTGGTATAGAAGAAAAGAGACACAAATATAAGTAGAAAAGTCCTCAGATGCCTCTGGATACCAACTAGAGAAGTGCCTCTAAAGTCTAAAGGCTCCTGCTGCATTACACTGGTAAGAAGTGAGAAAATATGTGATCCCAACAATAGTTTTTGTGCTTGTGATTTTTGATAATGTATCCTAGATGTTAAATAAGTTGACATGGCGTTGGGTAAGACATGGTGCATTGGACAACAAAACAACACCTTCTATCTTTCTTTCATTGCTTCAGCGGAGCAGTGTTGCTGAAGTTTTATACCATTTCCCTGCAGTTCTGTAAAATATAGTTCACACATTTTGTTAACATATTCTTACACTTGTTCCAGGTACCGATTTGATATGTCAATTGAAGAAGCTGCAGAGTTAGGTAGAAGAGCTATTTATCATGCAACGTTCCGTGATGGGGCCAGTGGTGGAGTTGCAAGCGGTACCCCCCCTCTTGAGTCTCTCCTCACATTTGTTTGCTTGTGCATGTCTGTGTACATGCATGCTTTCATGTGCTAATTTGTGGTTTCAATATGTGCTTTGCAAACAGTTTATTATGTGGGAGCAAATGGATGGACGAAACTATCTGGCGATGATGTCTCAGAGCTCCACTACAAATACTATCCAGTTGTGTCAGCTGAAGCTTCAGAGCCGGACCAGATGGTTGAAGCATGAAGTAGGGGCCTCACTGCTCTTGTTTCCAAAATGTAGCTCTGTTTCTATTTTTTGTCGGTGGCATTTCAAATTGTCAAGTAGACTTTCCTCATGGAATCCTGGTATTTTTAATTTCTCGTGTGCTTAAAATCTTGAAAATGAAATATTTTGGATTTGGTACTTGAGGAATGCGATTCTAGGTATGCCTTTATACACTACACAGTAACAACTTGAGAAGTTTGTGCTTAGAATCTGGCGTCTCCTCGGCTGGTGTGTGCTTTTGTGTGTGATGAGTGTTAAACTGGAACCTATTTTGGGGTAATAAATGGCATCAAAGTTTCTCATGATCACATTGATTAACCAAACCAAATGCTATTCGAGGGAAAGATTTCACGCCATGCCGCATCAATAGCATTCCTTCAATGCAAAGCAAAGGATTTTGTAATCCAATCCTAACTCTATGTTTATGTTCTATAGGTAGGAAATTGCTTACATTTTCGTACTCCAGAAAAGAACAAGGTATTTCTGCTTCCTAACTCGAAAGGCAGGCGATTTCCGACCCTAAATTATTCATCTCTCCTGATGTTCATTTCGTGTGTATGAAGGGACCGGTCGGAGTGAAAATCAACATCCGACATGCTATTGCTGTATGGGCTATCACTATAATACCTGCCTTCACTTGACATGCAATGCAGATGTGTAAATTATGTTGTATTTATTCTCAAAATCAAGCTCCATCACTCGATTTCTTGAAACAAGTCACAAGAAAACAAATAATAGGAGCTGGAAAGAGCATCTGTCTTTCTCTTTATTAGCTTCGAAGCATGCTTTCATGATTGAGTGGGATATAATCATTCAGCTCTTTCTCGTAAAAGAATTGTAAAATAATACTAATAATGCCTTTACTGGAAGTTAACAAATCGGACAAGTACATGAAAAATGTGAAACAGGAGTGTCAGTCAAGTTATTATTATCGTTCCCATGTTAATATTTGTTAGTGTGGGAAAGTGGAGTTGGTTACATGAAAGTGATTGATGAGAGGAATTTAGAGATGGAACGGCTTGGTTAATCCTTGGACCGCCTAAGGATTATACTTTGATTAGTGGCACAAGAAAATCTTACCAAATGCATGTATTTTTGATAGGAGGCTAGAGCAACCATCTACCAATCAAATCAAGTATATTATTTTTGTAACCATCTAGGTAATGGTCAAGTGGTAAGAACTTGGGATTAAGCGGTTTGCTTTCTTTGTAGTCTTAGGTTCAAGTTCTTGGTTACTCATATGATGATCATTGAATGTTTACATGGTCGTTAACTTTAGGGCTCGTAGGATTAGTCGTGGTGTGTGCAAGTTAACCCGGACACCCACGTTAATCTAAAAAAAAGTATATTATTCTTGTCAACCAAGTATATTATCTTGTTAATCTTGAAGGCTATAGCTCAATTAATTTAGATTTATTTTCTAGAGATTATCAGTTCGAGTAACATAAATTTTAAGTTAATTGAAAGCTTAAGCTTAGATGATTTTTAACTTCAAGATTTATAAAAATAATCGAAGTGCATGTAAGCTATAAGATTAATTGAAGTGCATATAAGCTGATCCAGACATCTATTATAATAATAATAAAAAGAAATATATTATCTTGGTTCTCATTAACATCCTTTAGACTAAGTGACACAATCCCTTTTAAAGATTAAAAATTAATTACCTTTAAATTATAAAAAAATATAAGATAAGAGGGTTGGAGAGTAATTTTTTTGGTTGTATTTAATAAAATATAAATATTCATTATATATACACTAATATGATAAAAATATAGTGAGTTTTTTCTTACACCTAAGAGTTTAGTAAAAATGAAATTCAAAATGTATTGTGTTGGTCTATAGGAGTTGGATTTTTTCTCTATACTGAGCTCAGGAAAACTTAAGTTTTTTTTTTTTAATTGAGTCTGTAAAAGTTGGGTCAGCAACCTTGACTGGTATCGTGAGTTTTTAAGCCGGTTTTAATTTGGGTATGTGAAATCTAGGAATGAATGATTTGGATAATCACCTCCAAGCTCCTCGACTGATCTAATTCATCGTCCTGGAAAACGTTTTTTGCAGCATGTACCGTAAAATACTCCTCTTTATCTGCAGTATTTATTATTCGAGATAATACAACTACGGCAACTTGAAACATTGTAAAAACAAAAAGCAATACGAACAACAGAAACAGTTAGCTAGTCACTATGCTAGTATGTTTTCTGTGTAGTTTACGTTGTCTGTCCTCCAGATTTCCAGAATAGTAGTTGCCTACGGATGAAGTATTTGTAACTTCACGAAAAGTCTGTACCTTACAGATCGTAGGTCCCTTCTAGTCACTTGTTAAATCTTGTTTCTTCTCTTCTTGACAAGGATGGGAGCAGGTTAGGTAGGTCTCTGTCAAGAAATATAGGCTTAGAGATACTACTTGACATGATACAATGCCGTTTATCTCTGCGAAAGAAGACTCCATGATACAATGCCGTTTATCTCTGCGAAAGAAGACTCCAAAATTCTTGCAAATCCGAAAACTCCACTTGAATAGACAGCAGTACTTGTTTCTGCCCATTACTCTGATACTGGAAACTATGAAGCAGACGTTCAGCGCTAATAACAAAACATTCGATTTAAATTTCTTATATGCTGCTGACTGTTTGGGATTTTTCAAAGTATTTTTTTGTTTTAAAATATATTTTTTATTTTTAAAAATTATTTTTAATTTTGATATATAGAAAATAATATAAAAATATAAAAAAATTAATTTTAAATTTTTATGAAATACTTTTTGCAATGCAATTTTAAATATCTCGTATTTATAAAAATATATTAAAATAATATTTTTTATTTTTTTATTTTTAATATATATTTATCAAAATCATTGAAAAACATTGAAACATCTGTTTGATTTTTTTTCGATAAAAAACACTTAAAAAACAAAATAAATCACCAAAACAAACACTTCACTCTATAGGTTAAGCTGGCCAACATTAGAAGATGAGTCCAAAATATATTTAAATCCCCTCTCAATTCTCATGAAAATAAACCTTTTTGTGGTTTCTTCATTAAGAGATTAAAATAATTAAGGATCAAACTAATTGGTGATCCAGCAATCAAAAACACCAGCTGGTCATCAAGAATTATCTGTAGTCTCGTAATAATCACCTTCAGCTCGCGAATTCTTTCGGCTAACAATCACTCGAGAACAGACCATGATCGGTGCACCCCCATGATTAGCTCAACAGCAAGCTAAAAGCAGGCCTTAAAATGGCAGAAAGTCACAAAACAATTATCCAAGGAAATTTCCACCGTTTCCTCTTTCCAAGTAATGCAGACAAGACGAGAAACAAAGACGCATTGAAACATCAGTATCATGCATGAGACCAAACTCTCTAATCAGAAAGCACTTGCGTCATTGCTTTTCTTCTACTCCCCTCGGAAGTCCCTTCTCTGGTGGACCCCATTTTAATCAAAATCTCGTCTTTCTCAAGTCTCTTCCTCTCATAAATCTCTCACTCCCAACCACCTCCACACCCTCCAGCATCACTTGCCTTTCTTTTCGTTCTTAAGTATATCCCACTCTCTCATTTTACTCCTCTCCGAAACAAGAACACCGTGATGAAGAGAACCCTCTCGTTAACGCTGCTCTTTCTCTTCTTTCACTTCCTATTCAGCACCAAACCCAGCCACTCCCTCACAGCTGATGGCTTATCCCTCCTGTCCTTAAAATCAGCCGTTGACCAAACTTCTGCTGGCTCTGCTTTCTCTGACTGGAACGAAGATGACCAAAATCCATGTCGCTGGACTGGCATTTCCTGCATGAACATAACCGGGTTAACGGACCCTCGTGTTGTTGGCATTGCAATCTCCGGCAAGAATCTCCGCGGCTACATTCCATCCGAGCTTGGCAACTTAATTTATCTTCGGAGACTTAATCTCCACAACAACAACTTCTACGGTTCAATACCTGACCAGCTGCTTAACGCTACTTCACTTCACAGTCTTTTTCTCTACGGTAACAATCTTTCTGGTTCTCTCCCGCCTTTCATCTGTAACCTCCCTCGTCTTCAAAATCTTGACCTTTCGAACAACTCGCTGTCGGGTTCTTTGCCCCAAAATTTAAATAGCTGCAAGCAGTTGCAGAGGTTGATCCTAGCGAAAAATAAATTCTCCGGTCCAATTCCAGCTGGGATTTGGCCTGAATTGGATAATTTAATGCAGCTTGATCTTTCTGCTAATGATTTCAATGGATCCATTCCTAACGATATGGGAGAGCTTAAGTCTTTGTCCAATACTTTAAATCTTTCTTTCAATCATTTATCGGGTAGGATTCCGAAATCACTGGGGAATTTGCCTGTTACTGTGAGTTTTGATCTGCGAAACAACAATTTCAGCGGCGAGATACCCCAAACAGGGTCTTTTGCTAACCAAGGACCGACTGCTTTCCTCAGCAATCCTTTGCTTTGCGGGTTTCCTCTTCAGAAATCTTGCAAGGACTCCGCACATAGCTCGTCTGAAACTCAGAATTCAGCACCGGTTTCTGATAACAGTCCTAGAAAGGGATTAAGTCCCGGTTTGATAATATTAATCTCAGCAGCTGACGCAGCTGTTGTGGCGTTTCTTGGTCTAGTTATAGTTTATATTTACTGGAAAAAGAAGGATGATTCTAATGGTTGTAGCTGCGCTGGGAAAAGCAAATTTGGTGGCTATGAGAAATCACACTCGTGTTCACTATGTTATTGTGGTAATGGGCTTCGAAACGATGACTCTGAATTGGAAGATCTGGAAAAAGTAGAAAGAGGGAAGCCGGAAGGAGAGCTGGTGGCGATCGATAAAGGTTTTACTTTTGAGCTTGATGAATTGCTAAGAGCATCTGCTTATGTGCTGGGGAAGAGTGGGTTGGGGATAGTGTATAAAGTGGTGCTCGGAAATGGCATTCCGGTGGCGGTGAGGAGGCTTGGCGAGGGAGGAGAGCAGAGGTATAAAGAGTTTGTAACGGAGGCGCAGGCTATTGGGAAGGTTAAGCATCCAAATGTTGTCAAGTTGAGAGCTTATTACTGGGCTCCAGATGAAAAGCTTCTCATCAGTGATTTCATCTCCAATGGCAACTTGGCTAATGCTCTTCGAGGTCTGTATTCCCTTTTCTCTTTGTTCCCTTTACATTATGTCTAAGTTGCAGTATCTTTGATCCTTCATGAATTATTCATTGCTAGAGCCTAGAAGCCATTGACTTTCTGTATTAAACCAAACCTTTTCTGTTCAAACCGGAAGTTGTAACATCAGGTTCAAGTTGGATCACATGTTTCTAACATGTCCAACTTTATTCCGATTCGAACACAAACTCAATACCTTTGTTTTTAAACGCAATATTTTTAAGACCTTCTGTTTCATGAAAAAAAACCCAGCTCGAACTTGAGATTTCTCGATAAACTAACTGACCTGACGGCATATCTAAGATGAACTGTTGTGGGACGGACGAGGAGCGGAATTGTAAGCACGAAATGCTAGGTGTTAGAAGGTAACAGTAATTATTTTTTGAAGCGTTTTTGAAAAAATATTAAAATAATATATTTTTTTTATTAATAATTTAAAAATATTTAAAAAATAAATTAAAATTAAAAATAAATAAATTTTAACAAAAAGAACATATTAAAATTTCTTTCCAGACAGCTTTTAGTCAGGGTGAGAAAAAACCGAACATCCAATTAATCCGAGAAAACCAAAAAAAAAAAAAAAAACTGAACCATGAAACAAACTAATTAAATTAATGAAAATTAAAAAAAAACAGATCAGTTCGATTTTGATTTTGTAAACCTGAAATCGAATAAATAAACCAAATCAAAACCTAGAAAACCTAGCCAAACTGGACAAAAATCGAGCCAAAACTTAAAAACAAAGCCAAACTAAAAAAACGAGTCAAACAGGACCAAATCAGTTGAATTGGTTTTTGTTCTAAAAACCCAAACTGAACCAAAACCAGCCAGTTTGAACTGATTTCGATTCAATTTTGATTTTTTTTAAAAAATTTAATTTAATTATTTTTTTAATAAAAAATCAACTACACTAAAATACTCCTCCCTACCTTATAAACAAGAGAGGTACTGGTGCAATAGTTATTGTTCCTTTCAGTAGAGGGAACATCAATTAGGGATCATAAATGGGCTTAAATAATGGAAATGGGAATGGGAATGGCCATTATGACTCGGACATTATTGGGCATGTGGCCTACCAGTTGGGATGTATATCACCCACTCACTGCTTTTGACAGGCCATGCTTTATGCAGGCAGTGCCTCTCAAGGCAGTGCCCCTCACTCACCAGTCTCTTTCCCTTTGTTAAGGCACTGCCTGCTCTCTCCTTTCCATGCACAAATAAAAGGGAAATACTGTTCCATTGCGATCCCAGACTAGTCCCCTCTTGCTGGATTTAAACCTGGGAGAATAATTTAGATTAAAAAAGGGGTTCGAGGGTTGAGGGTTTTTTTCTTCTTTGTTTTTTTCTATAACTTCAATTTTTCAGTAATCAATGGAATGGGAAGTGACAATTCTGGGATTTACAATCTTAAAGACTCACAGATGCCTTTACTCACTTTTGGCGCTGTGGATCACCGCCATGCTCGCATGGTGCGTGTCCTGTGTTCGAACCTGGGTGTGGTTGGGGTGTCCAGCCGGCTAGGCTAGGGGGCCATTTGTAATTATGTTTTAAATGGTATTTTTAAACGATTCGAATTTTTTCTTAATTTTTGTTATATATATATTTTTGAATAGTTTTGATGTATTGATGAAAAAAATATTTTTTTAAAATAAAAAATTAATATTTTAATATATTTTTTTAATAAAAATTATTTTAAAAAAACTATTGTTGCTATATTTTTAGAGAGAGAATTTAAGGAATTTCTAGAGAAATGATTAGACTATATTAAGTGAAAAGTTAAAAAGTGTGGGAAAAACATTATTTTCTTATATTCATTATCATTGTGGATTATAATAGTAATTTACTATGTTTTTTTTTTGTATTTTGATTTTTTTTGTTATTGATTTTTTAAACTTAGTTTTTATATTATGTGTTCATTAGGATTTAGAGTTAATAATTTACTTTAATTTATCTTTTATATGGCTGTCATAATATTAAAAAAAATATCTAAGCATAGAGTTGATATAAAAAAATCATAGAAACACAATATGGTCTATTTTATAAAAAAACTTTAGTTAAATTAAAAATAATTTAAAAAAATTAAGTTATTAAACTTAGTGGAGTTAATGACCTAGTTTGCAAACTTATCAAGGTAACCTTTGTAGCCTTAGTTCGCGGGTTTAGTGGGGTACTTTTTTTTTCTCTAATAGAACTCGATTATGTGATTGTCTATTTTTTTATCATATGGTTCAAAAAAATAATTTTGGTTTGAAAATAAATTTTTGTTATTAAATTTTAAAAAGTCTATGTGCCTATTTGCAAGCTTGATGAGTTTAACTTTAAAAAAAAATATTTTTTTTAATTTTATTATTTGATGTTGAGTTGATTGAAAATTGAATTTCATAATTTTTTTTTTATTTTGCTTTCTATAAAGTATTAAAAAAAATCTTTGTATTGGTTTGACACTCGATTTTGCGATCATTTATTTTTTATTATCATATAGTTAAATAAATGATAGTTTGTTTTTATAAAAAATACAAGTTATTAATCCCAATGAAGTTTATTACCTGATTCATGGGTTTGACGACTTTACCTATAAAACCTGATATGATTTTATTTTTTTTAGTTTTTGTTCCTTTAATTTGTTTAATTATTTTCTTTATTTCACTTTTCTTTTCATTGAGAAATAAAATTCATGATTTATTTTTGTCTATTTTCTATAGGGTTATTATGATCTCAAATAAATATTTTTTTAGGATTAATGCTCGATTTTACAAGTATTTATTTTTATCATAAAATTAAATAAAAATAATTTTCAAAAAAAATTATTAAACTCATTGAAACCCATGATCAGATGGTAGAATAATCAATGTCAATTCAATATGGTATTGTCAAAAAATATATATTTTTTAAATATCATCTTAATTTTTTTAAAGTTATATCGTGTTTTTATTGATTATGTAAGTTATCTTTAAATCTATTAATTTATTAATTTATTTTAGATCAATTTTTACACGATTTAATTGAAAATTTGAGTTAGGTATGGAATCAAATCGGTAGGTTCCAAAATTGAATTGTTTAATTAAATTTAATGATATTTTAAAAGTAAAAATCGTTATAATCTTAACAATTTTTTTTTAATTTAATAATAAATAATCTGATTAACAGCAAAGCAATGGAAAATTTACTAGCATAATACTAGTGCTAGAAGGATATGACCCTCTCTGCAAGGAGTATTTCTATTTGTCGTGTGTGCTCGGGCAAGGATGACACTGTAGCTTGCCTATGAGATGCACCGAATTGGTAGGTCCCTCATCATTGGCCACGCATTACCTGAAGTGGTTGATGGAGGAGCGATGATGGTGGGGGATTTAGCATTCCAATCACAATGTGTTGCGTTAGTACAGTTTGACCCCACCGATTCTTCTTTAGGCGAGCATTCACCGAGATTCCATAAATGCTAGCTGCAGTCAAAACTACAGTATGTCCTCCATCTTGTTCCTCGTGTGGGATTTTTTACAAAGCTCATGTATTCGAGAAATCAATCTCGACGCCTCAAGTTTCTTTCATAGGTGCATGCTTCAACTTTGTCAAAAGTTCCTTTTTCTCTCCCACTTTTATCTGAATGTTAAACTTTATCCCAAAAAAGTGATCTTTATAATCTTTCTTGTTTTTGCTCCAAACAATTGACAGAAGTCCCCTTTACTGTAAATTTGTGACTCATGATCATTCTCTGTAGCACCTTCCTGGGTGCTCTGTGCTTGCTGCCAGCAGAACTAGAAGACATTTAAGATTCTTAACTCTGATCAAGACCCATCAAAAAAAATATGCAGTATACCATACATTCAGCTAGTAGTCTGCAATTGCATATGTTGAAGCAGATGGCATTCATGATCCATTACAGATTTATGATATAATATATAGTACCCAGCATGGTTTATTTTTTTCCTGTCCTTTTATACTCGAGTTAACAGTGGCTCCTCTGCATCCACATGGGGTGATCATTTTTGTTCTTATATCCTTGGCATGGTCCATAAAGGATAATAAATGTTAGAAAAATGAAGAATAAGAACTTTAAAAAATTACTGAAATTAGACATTGATTTTATTTTCTTGATATGGTCCATGATTGTAAATAAATGACAGAACAATGGAGAACCTGCATCACATCTTATCTGGTTTATCTGTTATAGCAGACATTAATGACACCTTCTCTAGGTGTTTGTTATAGTTTTGATTATTTTGCTTAATCTCTATGTTCTGTAAAGATCATTTTCTGAATCCTCACTTACAATTTAACAGTGAAGATCTAGGCACTAATAAACAGCATTAATTTACAGGGAAAAATGGTCAGCCTTCAACAAGTCTGTCGTGGTCAACCAGGCTGAGAATTGCCAAGGGGACAGCCAGGGGCTTAGCTTACCTTCACGAATGCAGCCCGAGAAAATTTGTCCACGGAGACATCAAACCATCTAATATTCTCCTCGACAACGAATTCCAACCTTACATTTCTGATTTTGGCCTCAACCGACTGATCAGCATCACTGGCAATAATCCGTCCTCTTCGGGCGGCTTTATGGGCGGAGCACTCCCTTACTTAAAATCAGCACAAACAGAGAGAACAAACAACTACCGTGCTCCAGAGGCTCGTGTTTCGGGCAACAGGCCTACCCAAAAATGGGATGTGTATTCATTTGGAATTGTTTTGCTCGAGTTGCTTACTGGAAAATCTCCTGAGCTTTCACCAACCACGTCCACTTCAATAGAAATTCCAGACCTGGTGAGATGGGTGAGAAAGGGGTTCGCAGATGAAAACCCTTTATCAGACATGGTTGATCCAATGTTGCTCCAAGAAGTACATGCAAAAAAGGAGGTGATAGCGGTTTTTCATGTTGCTCTTGCCTGCACCGAAGCTGACTCTGAGGTTCGCCCTAGGATGAAAATTGTATCTGAAAATCTTGAAAGGATCGGAACATAGGAGGAGGAACGCTGCTTTTTCACTCACTAGGTGTCCTATTCTTTGGAAAAAAAGTTCTTGATTTTGCAACGAGCACTTCATCTTTTGCTAAGGTGAAATTTTGAAAGGTCAGGTGGGTTAAAGATTGCTTCGCATTAGACTCCCATTGACTCCAAAACCTGGCCTAAAATTTTCGGGCAGGTCCAGCAAGATTTCATAGCATGGATGGAGTGAGAAATCCAATTTCTTTTCTTTTCTTTTGAGAAAAGTAGCTTAATTTGTAATTTAAAAATTTATATTTCCTGTTTCTACGGGAGATGTTGTAATAAAAAATACCTTGTTCTCCCTGTGCTCTTCATTTCCTGGCCTCTTCTGCTTGGCTCCTCAGTTTCTTTCGGCATTCTCTTGAATGGGTTTTGGTATAGATCAAGAAAATTCAGTGATACCAATTAGTCCATGCAAAGCCTTGACAACCAGACGGTGTTATTGTAATCTGTTGTCGTTTCATATAGGACAGAACTCCATTGTCGAAGCTCAGGATTAACAAAAATTCTCTTTTGCCTTTAGCCTCTGCTTGGCGGCTCCTGGAGCAATTGCAATTTGCAAGTGGACTTGTCGGAGGACAGATTGTCCGTTGGAATTGGAGCAGGAGCGAACAAGGTGAAAAAGGGATCCGAATCCATTCGTGTCAAGGTTCCAAGTGTTTTTACTGTTTATTTAATCATTTTAAACCTTATTGAGCAAACCTAATTGTTTAACCTTTAATTTTATTTTATAAATAACGAAAACTTGATATATATATATAATTACTATTTTGATATCATATTTCAAATTCTATAAAAATATCTAAGTTTTTAATTTTAATGTATGATTAAGGTTTAATATATAGTTATAAAAATTTGATACTTATATCCATTGATGATTATAAATTATGAATATGTAAAATCAACATGTTGTGTTCGTTGATATCACATATAATATCCATCTGAAAAGAAAAAAAAAACTAAACGGAAGGGAAGATAAAAACATTGTGGCTAAAGGCTTTGTTTATTATTTATTGCGGTGGTGTAATTGTTTTTTTATTTTTTAAAAACATTAAATGAGTTTATTTTAGGAGAGAATTCAGTTTTTACCCATGTTTCATTAATTATTATAATATTGGTTGGGAAATATTTAGTCTTTTCACTTTTGCACGGTAAAAATATTTAATTATCTTTTAAAAAAAGAAAAATTATTATCCAGAGTCATTTTCATTTTTTCTTCTTATTTAGCATAGTGAGATGACAATGATATTTTTAAAAAGGAAAAAAAAATAAAACTCTCATCCAGTGGTTATTTTATTCATTTGTTTTTTGTTATATTTATGTTGATTTAAAAGAAAATTTAGTATTTTAATACATATAAAGTACTAAAAAAATAATAATTGATGCATGCATAATATGTTAGGTATTTTTTCGCTTTCAGGTGACACGTGTAAAGACTTATAATAGTTAATAATAAATTTTTTTGGTGTCATTGGATTCGTTTTGATACCCTTTTCTTTTTACATAAGTGAATGTAGCTTTCTAAACTCTAGTTTGGCACCAATAAGCTTTGTTTTTTTTTATATATATATATATATATATATTTTTACCTTGATTTTTATGCGTGACACTTTAAAATTTCAAACCAATCTTCAAAGTTTCAAACCAAACTTTCAATTTGTTTTTTCTTTATATTTGATCTATATTATTTTAATTATTATCTTTTTATTTGAAATGATTTATATAATTGAATTTGTTTTTTAATTTTATCTTCTTTAATTTTTTTATCTTTTAGATTTGGTTTCTATTCTCTTGGTTGTTGTATATTTTATTTTGAATAATTTTTACTTGTGATTTCATCATCTTGTAATATTTTTTTCTATGTGAATTGATCCTTCTTGTCTTTTTTTTGCAATTCCTTTTGTTTTTGCAATTGTTTTTACTATTTTACCATCCAACATTAAATTAACTGAGAATTGAGTATTTTTATTGAATTTGAGTCTAAAATTTTACAAATTACAAGTTTGGGGGGGATTAACTAAGTTTAGAAAATTCACGTGGATTTACGTGGCCCCCCTTTAAGCTAATTTGTTCTCAATTTCATCCTTTAAAATTTATTTATTTTTCGATTTCTTCCACCTTTTATTTTATTTATTTATTATATTTAATTCTATTATTTGTTTTGTTTTATGATTTTTAGAATTTATTTTTTTTACAATTTTATTCCCCTTTATGTTTTTTCTTATATAATTTGATTCTCATTCATTTTGTTTTTTTTTTTTTTTTTGTAATTCTCATTGCTTTGGCAATTTTTATCAATTTAGATTTTTGTTTGCGACTTTACCCTCTAACATTAAAATAAGTTGAGAATTAAGTTTCTTTATTAAATTTGAATATAAGATTTCATGGGTTACGAGTTGAGATGAACGACCTCAATCTAAGAGGTTCATCCAAGTTAACTTATTTTTTTTTAAGCTAATATTTTTTCTAGTTTTATTCTTAAACATTTATTTATTTTTAAAACTTTATCTTCATTATTTAATCAAACTCAGATCATTTTAGACTTAGACAAGGCCTAGCTTGAAGGGGAATAAATGAAGAAAAAGAAAAGAGGTAGATTCTCCAATCGGATTAATTCATTATGATTGTATCCATTACGTAGGTTATTGATTTTACAGGTTATATAGGTCAACTCCATGTGTTACTATCTTTTCATTGCACTCCTTGATTTTTTTTGGTGATTTAAGCTTTTAACAGTTTATTGTTTTATATTTGCGCTAAAGTTAGGTAATGATTAAAACAATAACAACATTGAGAATTGTTTAAATGATGTTGACAATTATGAAGAGAGAGTTAAATGCGAGTGTTATAACAATTCAAGGTACTATGAAGAGAAATTATAGGCACGAAGTCTTTAACTCTAGCCTTGGTTAAAACAACAACAATATTGAGAATTTGTTATCCAAGTGGCTTATGTCCAATAACTTTATATAAGTTATGTCCAATAACTTTATGTAAGTGTGTTATAGACTAAGACACAATTCACAATAGATTTTTACACTACATTTTCCAAGCTCTAAAAGCTTGGAACGAGGCTAATGTTGTTTTTTTTATATAAAGTTAAATTATTATTTTGTCATTTAATTGAAAAATTTGAAGCTCTAGTTGTGAAAGTATTTCAATATTTTTCGTAGGTTTATTAGTCATTAAACGTTTGAGCCGGGATGTGGTATTATTTGCATGGTAAAAATACTATTTTACCCCCGAGAACAAAATTAAGATATGTTGTCTAAGGATTGTTTTAACCTTTCATAAATTATTAAATAGTTAAAATACATCTTTAGCTTTGAAAAAGAGAAAAAAAAAGTTTTGCATATTGAAGTACTTTTATTTTTTCACACTATTTTTTGTGTAATTTTTTATAATCATAGGGAATATTTTGATATTTTTAATATTATTTTATTATTTTTAAATTTAGAAAGTCATGTCAAACTTATATTTATTTAGATTTGACAAACAAATTAAATCCAAGGCTCTTAGACCTGCATGATTGTCAAATATAAAAAAATTGAATTTGACATGATTATCAAACCTAAACTTAAAGCACTTGAATCTGATAATAATTTTAAATTTAAGATGTTTGGCCTTTATTTAAATTTGACATGATTTTTAAACACATATTATTTAGATTTGATAAAAAAAAGAGTGAATATTTAAAAATTAATCACTTAATTAAATTTAATAACACTATTAAAAGTAAAAAATTAACCCACGTTACTTAATATTTTTTTTTTTAATTTTTTTAAAATTTATATTGATTCACTGCGAAAGTACATAATATGTAAATGCATGCTAGACACCGAATTATTTTTTTTAAATATGCTGCTTTACCATTTTTTGAAAACAAAAAAACTTCATTCACGTACTGAACTGAATTGAAGCAACACCTTTTGGCTTTGAATTGAAGCAAGAAAAGCGGTTCCTCGCGGTTTCTTATTAACGACTTTTCCGAAGATCCATAATTTGGAAAATTTGCTGCAAGGTAATCCTAACTCAAATTTCTCTGTCGCAAAGCCCTAATCTAATCTGCCCAAACATTGATGCTCTTCGTTCATTGATTTAGTTTGCTAGGCAGCTGCACTGTAACTTTTAGATTTGAAGTAAGAGAAGCCATCAGCGTCAGTTCAAAAAAAAGAAGCAAGACATGGTAAATTAAATTAAATTTTGTTATTGTTAACCTGTTATTTCTGTTTTCTTGACGTGGGTTTTCTTTCTTTTTTCAGTCTGCACTGTTCAATTTCCATTCGTTTCTGACAGTGGTGCTGTTGGGGATTTGTACATGCACATTTGTGAAGATGCACTTTCCAGCAATCCTTGAACAGAGAAATGGGTATGCCCATTTTTTTCACTTTTTTTATTTTATTTTGTGGGTTTATTAAATGTGTGGGGGATGATTGAAGAGTGTATTGCTGATTGCTCGTTAACTCTAAAAATTAGTTGCATTGTATTACAACGTTGTCTAGCTATGCATGTAGTTTAGAAAACTTAGATTATGTGAAGTTTGGTTGTGTCGGCTATTTTTTCCCTCTTTCTTTTCAACATTTTTAGAAATCTAAGATTATGCATATACTTTTGTTTTGGTTTTTTAATGAAAGTTTCTGTTTTTGATAACTAGTTTCAAGTGGGTGGCACTAGCCTCCTGAATTCTATCTATTTTCACCATCAAATAGTACTAGGTTTCCATCAGTCATTTTTTATGCTGTATAAAATAGATGCACATATAACTGAACTTCTCTTAGCTTTGGACACTCTTATCTGCTAAATCTTCTCATTTAGCATGTGATAAGATTTGCAGCAATGTAGTGGCACCAGTCTTTTGTGTAGTTTGAGCATAACCCAAACCAATGATAGCTTAACAAAGATGAACTGAAAGTTCATTGGATCTTCCAAACTCAATAATGTTACTGGATTTACAATTTAACCATCCCCGTCTTGAAACTGTTATGCTGTTATATGCTCTGGCTCTGCTATCAGGTTTTACATTTTCTTAATGGTCTTCTAAGCCCACAGTAATTATTTCAGGCATGTTAGCATCCTGCAAAAACGATAAGGTTTGAAGTGGAAGTTTCAATCACCTAAAACCACACCTCTGGAAATGTCAATCACTATAGCTTAGTGCCTGCACAAAATAAATGTTGAGCCTTGGTGATGCAGATTCTATGAGGGCACTGCCCAAGGGACTTCTAGGGTCTAAGATTCACAGAGACTTCAGATCTATAGCATCAGTTTGAAAGCATAAGGCCTGCTCAGTGCTATTTCTTAAGTCGTGCTATGTTGTTCTCAGTGAAACATGTTTAATAGCAGTGCCCAACCTGCTGATTATCTGTTCTTGTGGAGAACATTTTAAATTGAGTCTCTTTGGTAGGGTAAATTTCAGTGAGTGGAACATGAGAATGCCCATTACTTCCTTTCCACCAGTCAATGGGACATGACAAAATAAGTGAGGTTATTAACATGTTGGGAATCGTTGGAGATGGCTCTGGCATCTATGCCTCAGCAAACAATTTTATTTTATCCCTGCTCCTGGTGCTGTGAAATTGGTTGTTATCCAATCCAAAACAAGAGGTGAAGTAGGAAAAGACATTTCTTTTTTAAAGCACTGTACATTAATTTGTTCTGTTTAAGTTCATTCATGTTATAACATTGTATGAAAATGGGAGCACATGATATATAACTCCTGATTCCTTGAGCTTAAAAGTCTACCATTGACCATGATAAAAAAGAAAAAAGAAAATTACAAATGACAACTTCGACAACCATCACAGGTACCATAGCTAATAATATACAGATACCATAGCTAACAATATGCTGAACACGACCCTGTTTCACATGAAACAAGATGGTTTGGTTATTGTAGAATCTGTTACAAGAGATTAGAGAATTGCTACTGTAAACAAAGCGACAGCCAAGAGAGCAGATTTTATGTGCTTCCAATTTTCTGTCATCATCCAATGATCATAGCATTTGGAACCTCATAATCAGGCATAGGTCATGGACATGAATGAATGATTACTCTTGCTTGAAGTTAAAGTAATTGTCATCCTTGCTTAGCCTGGGAAAACTTATGCCCAGTCCCCTCCACATAAAACAACAGTGAGGGGCCTCCAAAATCTCTGGAATATTACCACCCCTAGAAAAAAAGTATCTTCTTTATCTATGTGCTTAACTGAGCGTATTATCCTAGAACTTTGTGAAATCAGTTATCTCTAATCCTCCAGGTCATCATTTGTTCTCATTTCACCCAAAATACATGTGATTATACAATCGCTATGTTCTTTTTCTATGTATGGTGGGGGTTCGCATTGTCAAGAGATAATTATATTCACAGGAGTTTTGTTGGTGCGTGGCTATGTATCGATGATTATGGAACTAACCGGTTTAATATACTTTTTGACAGATTTCGTGGTTTCTTTTGGAAGGCAGCTAGAATAGGTAGGCTTCCTTACCATCAATTAGTGGAATATTCTTTAGCTTTCTTTGGGCATAACATCTCTTTATTTTTCTCCATTTTCAATTAGTTAACAGTGTGGATTTAATTTTTCAAGAAGCCTTTTATATATATAGCGAAGTATATAAAGAGATCAATATTGTTCTATATTATTCTAACAGAGATGAAGTGTCATATGGAACATTTGCATATTGGACTTTGGATGCAAAAACAAAGATCCCTAACAACATTTTTTAAAAGGGGAAATGACCCAGCCTGTTCTTATTTAATGGGGCAGGAGAGGAAGAAGGGGTAGAGGGAACAAATAAGAAGAAGAGAAAAGAAGGAAAAAAAGGGTTTGGTGCTTGTTCTTGGCTGGATCACGCGACAGATCACACCTGATGATTTTACTAGAAAAAAAGTCGTCATAAAGATAGATTGGAAACTCACTTAATATATAAGGACATAATTGGCTTATTTAGGATATAACGACAGATTAGGCACTTAACCCATTATATAAGGATAGGCTGGGCCATTTCCCTTTTTAAAAATTAACAAATTGCAAGCAAGATAAAAATAATAATTTTATTATCAATAAATAAAATGAGGGAAATTAATCATGTAGAGGGTTAAAGTATATCCAGGTGTTGGTTCACCTGGTAAAAGTTGGGTGCGAATAGGGATAGGACTCATATTAAGGAGATAGAGATACAGGCAGTTGTAATTTGATGATTCTGGTAGGGGGATGAAGGAGTATTGGAGTGAAAAAGAATGGATGGGAATCTTGATAATTGGATCTCTTAGCAGTTGGTGTTAATCAAAGTGAGTTTCTGGCATGGTTACTAAAACTTTTCAAGTTCACAGCATTTGGATTTGGATTAGGATTAAAAATCAAGTTTAAATGTTTTAACTTTTAGGTTAGTTACTGTGAAGTTGTACATTTAATTGTTAAAACTGTGTAGCAATATTACAAAAAATCCTTATTTAGTTGGTGTTGCTGTGAAACTAATGATCATGCAAACCATGAAGAAGAAAATTAGAACGGCAAATAAATCATTATTGGTCTTTGGCAATTCAGGATGTGATCAACTATCTGACATTCTGGTGCTTTCTTCGGTGATGCTGAAATAGGTGAACGTTTGAGCCCCTGGGTTGCTGTAGGATGCTTCACGATGGGCGTGTCAATAATCTTTTTCTGAGATAGAAATTTGTTGCCTCTGTATGTGGAAGTAAGCTCCATCTTTCTTTCTTGTGGTTAAAATGTCACCCATGTGATGAAATTGTTTATGTGATAAAATTGAATTGATAAAACTGTTTGGCATAATTTTATAAACTTGTTTTCACGGCATTTTTTGGTAAATGTCTATTGATGGTACCTTCTCTTTCATAACTGATTGATTGCCAGATTCTGAAGCACTTTCTGCTAAAATTAGTTATAGAAAAGCATTGATGTATGCCATATCACCTTGGGCTCTTTCTTTTATTTTGTTGAAATTATGTCATGCCTTGAGCAGTAGGAGGGGATTTTAGAAAGTGATTTCACCTGAAAATTTTAACTTCTAGTGCTGTTAGGTATGTGATAACTTGCGTATGTTTAAAAAATTGTTTGAGACTTGCTCTCACTCACTGAACCATGTTGATGTGTGGATTTTCTTTCTTTCGTTCCCTTTTTTTTCCCATACTTCTTTCATCTATACATCAATGATCGAGAGAGGCTGCTGCTAATGAATAGAGGAACCCTGTTTTCTGCGTGTTTTGAGAAATTAGAGATTCTGTATTGATGTTTGTAATTTGTTACATGCATAATATATATATTATATGCAAACAGTATAGTTTTGAAGAAGACAAGGCTGAGAATACTGGATTTAAACTGAAATTAGGGCCGTAGGGGGCTTGAAGCTGACAGGCATGCAAGCTATGATATATACCTGGATCTTATGCTTGAATTTCCTCAGTACTAGAACCTTCCCTTCACCCCAATGAATTACTGATATAATCATCCTCTTTATGGGTTTCTTCCCAGTTTCCTTGTTTGTGGCACCAATCATCTCTTCATTGGTTGTCTCATCTTCTGTTCCATGATAAAGAGGATAGCTTCTCAAAAATGCCCTTCTGTTGCTGTAATCTTCATCAAGGAAGCTCCTTGTCCTCATCCCCGTCCCATTTTCCTCCATATCTTTGCAATCCATGCTTATGATGTTACTGATTGCAAAGCTGGCTTTTATAGGATTGCATTGAGAAATAATGAGAGTAGGGTGGCTGGGGGAGAGGGAGAGAATTGTCAACAGAGGACAGGGATGATTCTGGGAGTAGAGACATAGGAGTACGATTAATTAATTCAATCAGTGAAAATGATTTTCGGGTGTTGTATTTGGCTTTTAATAGAGTCCAGATGAATAGTCTCTCTTCAAATATATTTTATTATTAATATTGCTCTTTGGTTATGATATTTTGTTTCGGTATCCTCGCTGAATTTCTTGATTGATAGGTTTTCATCGTGCTAGGTGTTGATGACATCCTTGGACCTGCCTGCATGCTGCTTCACCGAACTTGTCACCATGCATAGCAGTATGCTATAGCAACAACTCTTAAATTATTTATTTATTTTGTCTGCCATGGATCACATCAGTTGAATATGCTCCTCATTTTATTTATTTATTTTTTGTCTGCAATGGATTTTATCTTGTTTTAATCCAAGAAATATGGCGTGGAAATTGAACAGAGTAGAAGGTTTGAGGTGACAATTTGGAAACCACTATGTATTTTCACAATTTAAATATTTGCGATGAAATTTTTGCTGCATCGCATAAGGTTCATCCGTAAACTCATTTAGATTACTCAACACATAATTAGCACGCACACGGCCACAAGGTTCATCCGTAAACTCATTTAGATTACTCAACACATAATTAGCACGCACACGGCCACAAGGTTCATCCGTAAACTCATTTATTAATATTTTTGTTGGTGTATATTGCTGTGAAAACTTCAGCAAAACATATAGACAATCATATCTGCCATATTCAGTATTATTCTTTATATCGTTTAATCCTTTATTTATTGTTTCCTGAAAGCTATGATGCCTGTAGAAGACAGAATAGGTAGTTTGCCGTTAGGGGGGTCTACCTCCATATGAACTTTCATTTTCAAGTTACTGCACAGGAATACTGATACCACTGTGAAGGCACGTCAAAAGCAAAGACAGAGTACCAAAAGGACAGAAGAGGTGAAATTGTTGATGAAACGATGTTTGATTTGGTCAAGGTTTAGCAATGAAACATGAAAAGGACTTGTATTATTTTGATAACTTAGTTTAGAGAAATGCTTGTGGCATCTTATTGCTACCATAGCATCTCCTTGTTCTGGTCGTGGACTCTGTGTGCTCAGTCCGGTCAGAGTTTCCTGGATTATCTTAGCATCAACTCTTATTTTTTATGCTAAAAAACACACAAGTAAAGCCTATATATCCAAAAATTTTAATGAAAGAAAAAATATACAATAGTAACTGGTAGGAGTACTGAATTGGGGGTGAAGATTCTGGTTATTTTTTCTTTAGAATAAAAAAAAGTATTTCATAAGGCATAGATACATTATTATTTTTACATTATAATTATAAAAAGGTAACAAATATGATAGTTGAATCTAGCTATTTAAAAAGGTCTTGACAACTCCATCAGTGAAAATTAGAGAAAATAAGTTTTTATATGGACCTAGACTTTTAAAGAGCAGCTCACACCCTTCCATAGTAATTTTACATGCTTAGTCTTTACTTTAATCATATATCAATAACTTATTTTTCAATCCACCTTTAAACTAGTTTATTTCCGAGGATTTGCTCCATATTGATTTTGACGAAAGATATTTAAAAAGTTGGGAAATACAAGCGTTCGTAAGTCATAATATAATAAATATTAATAATCCAGCCTATCATTTAATTAATAATAATAATAATTTTATTAACATAGATGTTTAAATTATTTTGCGTGCATATTGAACTTAATAAATTTTAAAATTAATAATTATATAATAAGTTTTTTAGTGGCTCTGAGATTTGTGAGATTTAAACTAGTAATCTTTAAAAAATAAATTTAGAGTCTGATTATTTGAATTATATCTCTTAAATTTTTTTTTTATTATTATTGTTAATAATAATAGTGGTGGTAGTAGAAATAATATATAGAAGAATAAATCTCACTATTTTAATTTAAGCAGATCTAATGGACCGGTTGTTTGACATCAAAGTCCAAAACCAAAGCCTAAAGTGTGGGGCTAGGCCCAGAATAATCCAGGGACTTGAAAAAGGAGCCCAAAGAAATAAAAACCTATCAATTTATTAATTAATACTAAAAACCCTAAATCGGCAGGCGGGCAATTTTGATCGACGGGGACGCCAGAGGCTTCCAGAGAGGGAGGCTTAGTCTCCGCTTTTGACTATTCGATGGTATACCTCCGCCAGAAAGGGGATTCTTTGAATTCCGTCATCGCCACGGCAGCCACGGGAGGCTTTCTCTCCATGCGGAAGGACTCGGCGCCTCCGCTCGCTCAGCTGTATTTGGTGCGTTCTTTTGGCTCTAATAAAAGAAGCTGGGATTATGCGTAATAAGGTTATGAGCGATCAATAGAGTATGCCTATGATGATTGACGAAGACCCCCCCGCCCGCGAGCGCACATATATATTGCATCAATACAATGCATTAGCAATTTTTATTTTTTTACAAAATTTAATTGTTAATCAGGGTTTTTTGATTTTATGAGATAGCATCTTGCAGATGGGGGCAAAAGGTCTTTCTTTTTTATCATCTCATTCGCTCTTTCTCTGTTTTTTCATTTTTTTTGTACCATTGATTTGCTTTTGCAATTTGGATGCATGTTTCTATGTGAGATTGAATGCGTGCTTTCTTTAGTAGCTTTCCGTCTGGTTTGTGCATTGCCGTGCATATTAGGGCTTTAATATGACAATGAGAATGTGTTTGTGGTTTAGAAGTTAATTCTCTTTGTTATAGTTTAGGCTTGATTTCATTTCTTGTAAACCAGTGGATTTTGTGTTTCCTATACTAGCTGGGTGCTGCCATTTTGTTCATTGAATTAGGACTAGATTAGCAAAGAGAAGTATGATAATTTGCCCCAAGGATTAGCGTCTGCTTTAGGATATTAAAAATCATGGTTTCTGTTGCACCAACTTGTGCCTAAGTGTCTGAAATTTAGCTCGTGGAATGTTTTACAGCGTTGTAATCTAGCAAGATGATGGTATGGGTCAAAAATCAAGTTTTTGCAAAACTAAGCACCGGACTTCCGCTATTGGGTGCCTCTCTGACAAGTGCTCAATTGGCTAATTGCCAAGAGGAGGCAGAAAAGGATGGAATTTCCGCTGAATTTGGGCCCCGTGGCCTCAAAGCTGATCTGGAGCTTATGCTTTCCCCAGCAACAGAACCTTTCTTTCACTCCAGTTTATCCTCTTCATGGTTTTATTCTCAGTGTTCTTGTTAGTGGCGCTGACCATCTCTTCAATGATTGTCTCGTCTGCTGCTCAACAATGAAGAGGATAGCTCCTCAAGAATACCCTTCTGTTATTGTAGTCTTCATGTTGGACACTCCTCATCTTCATCCCATTTTCTACTATTTCTTTGCAATCCATACTTTCAGAAGCACTAGTGATTTCTGCACCATGGTGGCTTTCATGGGATTGTGTTGAGGAGAAAGTTGGGATAGTGTGGTTGGGGGAGAGGGAGAGAGATAGCAGTAGAGGACAAAATGATCCTCGGAGACTCGGAGTAGAGACTAAAGAGAGAATAATTAGTTCTGTTGTTGAAAATGATGAATATGAATTATTGTATTTGGCATTTTATATGGTTCATCTGAATAGACTCTTCAATTACATTTTCAGCGTTGATAGTTGTTTGTAAATGCTCTATGGTTCTGGTATTTTGGTATGGTCTCCACTCTAAATTCCTTGATTAGTAGATTTTACTTGCACAAGGTGCTGATGACATCCTAGGACCTGCATGTTACTTCACTGTGCACAGCAGTACGCCATAGCAACAACTCCCAAATTATTTCTTTATTGATGGAAGTTTCTGCTGAGTAATGCTCCCTTTTTCTCCCCACAAAAGCCAAGAGAGTGATTTTTGAATCTAAGAAATAAAGGGCGACTAGGTGGCTGGTTTTAGGTGACAATTTCAAAGTGCTACGTATTCAATAATTTCAATGATCGTCCCAATTACCATATTCTAAATGAGATTTTGGGTTATTTAGGTTCATAATGAACCTTATTTAAAAACAGGGAAGTTGCTTTTCTACACATTAGATGCCTCTTTCCACGAGACAAACTATCCTGTCATGGTAGCGAAGGTGTAGAAGTGTGTTGGTATCCGTTATTGAATGGGAGGAATTATTAAACTTAGAAAAGCTTCTTCTCTTTTCAGAATTTTTTATTGTGATGGTACTTCATTTTCTGAGGCTGCGCCTTGAAAGCACAGATACCTATAGAAGACAACACTGAAACAGAGAGTTTGGTGACACAAGAATCCAGATCCAAACAAACTCTTCATTTCGAAGTTTATGCAGAGGAACCCAGTTGTCGGCAAATCAGTAAAACAACAAATTCATTGTTTTGAATCTTTTGATAGCTTAGTTTGGAGCATTACTTGTAAGTTTAAGGATCATAATTCCCAGTTGACTATACATGCAGGTATCATTACCTTTTTGTTCATGTTGTTGGATCTTTAAACTCAATACAAATGGAGTTTTGCTGGAGGGGCCCAACAGGGTTCATGATGTTTCTAGAGAGAGAAACTAAATATTAGCTGCAAGTGAATATAGCAGTTTGACTAACTTAGATTTGGAATTTTCGGACTGGCATACCACATGATGGAACTGCATAAGATCTCTGTTAGCATGAAAATGTTGTATGATGTCTGAAAACTTCCACGAATTGGAACAAATTGTTGATTAGCAGTTAACTCATAATATGTTAACATGCCACATGCTCCATGCACCAACCCTCCTTTCCAAAGCGACCCAAAAGAAGAATAGGAAAGAGAAGTGGACGATATTGGGACCAAAATTGGCTGATAACAGAAGAGGGGATAGCAAACGTCAATTTCATCTCATAAGTTGAAGTTATCTTTTCCACCAGAAAGAAATGACATAATTACTTTCTTGCGTGTTTTTAAATTTCCTGTCCTTCTGTGACATCATCCAGGATTAAATTTGCAGACCAGGTGAAGTTAAGATAAATCTACCTCAATAATGAAGCACCCATATATTATTAATTCATCCTTCCTTTGTCATGAAAGATGCGGTTGCATCGCAGCGCATCAGTGCTCAACTCTTGAACAGTTAAGATGTGCCGTCACCGCTACAGACATTATTAGGTATGTATTTAGAACTAGTACCCAGCAAGGCAATAAAAGCTCACACCAAGAAAATGATTCTTTGGATGGAGCCTTGTAACAGGGAAATTGTGGGGGTGATCTTGGGATTTCTGAATGCCTTGTTCATTTATTTGAAGTTCAGCTAGCTAATGATTTTCATTTTCAAATCCACTTGATTTTGAAGTCAATAAACATCCAATGACAGAACACCAAAAAAGATCAGTAGTAGCAAAAGGGTCTATTCATTTCAAAGTAAAAATCATGGGAACCACCCGAAAAGCAGCTTTGCTCCCCTTGCCTTGCAGCTGCCACTAACAATTAGTAGTAGTTAGTGGAAACAAGAACAGGAAACTTCAAGAAAGGGGAGTGGGTAATTATCTAGGTGGTGATCAAGTGGTAAAGATTTGGGATTAAGAGGTTTGCTCCTTCTGTGGTCTCAGGTTCGAGTCCTTGATTGCTCATATGATGGTCACTGGAGGCTTACATGGTCGTTAACTTCAGGGCCCGTGGGATTAGTCGTGGTGCGCGCAAGCTGGCTCGGATACCCACGTTAATCTATAAAAAAAAAGAAAGGGGAGGGGGTCCCTCTGCAAATGCCATTACTTCGCTTTCAAGACCAATCAACTTCTTTCCCAGATTTTAGTTGGAGAGAGACCAACCTTTCCCCCAAACAACATTAAGTCCAAGTAATGCTGGTTCAGTAACGGATTGATAGAGTATAGTTGCAGACATGGGCAATTGTGCTTCAGTTCGAAAGAAAGCCGGCCCTGCTATGAAATTCAGTTGCCCCATTGATTCTCGAGGAAACTGTATCTTTATTGAATCACCAGTGAAGGGCAGCAGCAAAGTCTACGGTGATCACTCCATGACTGAAAAACTCAATTCCAAGCCCCAGTCCTTGTCTCCAAAGCCTTGTCAAGCCAGTTTTCATGACAAGGGTACGATTCTGACTTTATTTTATCCTGTAAAATATCCATCTTTTGTGTGCCATTATTACCTCCTGTCCTTTATTTACCTTTTTTCTAATTTGCTTTCCAGTTGAATGGTTTGTGGATGTGAAATGTTGAATAGATGCTGATCCTGTAAATGTTGAAATGGAATGCAAACGATGTCCCTCGTTAGACTGCGACCTTAATTTCGATGAATGCAGCTGGCTGCATCTTGGTTATTGTTACTGATGGAATTCTTATCGGCCATGAAATTCGTTGATCTACCTCTGATCGCCGATCTGATGATGAAAATGAAAAGGGACGTTTTACCTGCAAATAACAAGTTCTTCCTATATAAGAAATGTATATGAATAGCCTTCATGATAAGGGTTGGGTTCTGGAGTTTGCTCGTGCTTAATTCTAAGTAGGTCTTCCAATAATACTTCAGTTGTCTTGTCTATCCTGGTTATTAGGTTAAGTTATATGTGAGTATTCCATTTAACAATCTGTGTAGACAGGCGCCAGGCAGTCATTCTGAAATCTCCATGATGTCTGCAAAGCATTCAACAAACTGCAGTTTTGGTTTATGAATTAATCTTAAGAAGCATGAAATATATGATAACTTAATCGGATAAAATTCCATATGATTCTGGAACTTCATGCTTGTAGATAATCGTTTAAGGCCATGGCATCCTATGGACATTGTCCTTAACAAACCTCTGGTTAATATGAACATCCTGAGTATCTTTCATTAATCTATGCCCTGTTTTTGTCTTGAACATGAAACGCTGATCATCCATATTTGATTAACATATAAAATTGAAAATTGTGCATGTTTAATCATCAAGATGTAATTTGGCATCATTGAAGATCATTCTCCTTAAGGTCCTCATGTGATGTGCTAACTCCTGCAGTTTTCGTATCGAGTCTCAGACTGCATCTGAATTTATGTCGCTGTTCCTCTTGATCTGCTCTCTAAACCCGCTGAGCATTTGTCTTAAGTATGCCTCTTACTTGTTCAGGTAACCAAGAGGATATGTTTTTTGATTCTCATCCCTGGATAGAGTCTGATTGTGAAGATTACCTCAGTGTCGATGGTGGTGAGGTTTCCTTAAATTTCTTTCTGTGGCTTAATTTCTTCCGAGAAACTCCTACTTTTAACATAAATCACTGTTGAGATTTCTATGCGTACATCTTTGGTTTTCAATTAGGTTAACTCATTTATTCAGATTTTACTCCATCACGTTGCACTACTCCTATTCACCAAGGCAGCTATATAGAAACCCCTCCACGTGAAGAATCTCTCTGTGCTATCACTTCAGCGAGGTCAATAGCTGAACCTTCTCCAGCTGACATGAAGAAGCAACTAATCGAGCTCTTTCGAGAGAACATCAGTAGCGAGCTGGCTAATAACAACCAAAGTTTCCAAGACAAAGTCAATGGCAAGCCTACAACTGCTTACCTCTCTCCGAAATGTACAAGTAGAAGTCCATATCAGTCTGCAGAAAGCTCTGTCCGCAGCAGTGAAACAACTCCACACATAGATTCCAAATCTGGGAAAGAGAAACCAACTCATTCTGCACACTGCTGCCTTCCAAATGTTGTGCGGAGCCTGAGCTTCAGTGAGAGGAAGAGGAGGCTGAGCCATGCCTATGGTGGTGGACAGTAATAAGCTTTTCCCCAGTCAACTTTTTTCTGTTCTTGAAAGCAGAACTGTATGGGCACACTGCAAGGAATGGAAACTAGAATACTTTCTCAACTATACTTGTCTTTATTCTGAAGAAAGCAATTTGTGAACTGGGTTCTATATATTAATATATTCTGCAGGAGCTTGTTGAGCTTTTCCAAAATCAAGAAAAACGAAAATGATTCCTTTCGTTTGCCTGTGCTTGTATTGTTGTATGACCTTGATCCATAGACTAAGAAAATAGCTAATGTTCAATAATATAGTATCGTCTGCAGGTATTTGAACAGAAAAAGAATGACAAATGTAAAATCTTTGTTTATCAGATAACACCGAGAGATGAGCTAGACATTGCGCAACTAGTGAAAACAAAATGTGAGAAATCTCCTCTCCAGGTCTAATGGAAAATTGGAGTCAACGTGAAGAGATCTTCCATCAGAGACTATTGGATTTTGTTTCCTCCATGGTTCCTCATGTTTAGCCAATGAACCATGACCGGTAGAACATAAAATGCAAAGTGAAAATTTTAGAAAAGAAAAGCGGAATAAAAATGGCATACCTGTGTACTTATTAGCAGGAACTCATCATCTCGTGCTCTATCTTCTTAAACAAGCTACAAGCGGCAATGGCCACAAAGATTCTGTCTTTCGTTTCGTCCACGGACTGGAAATAGGCACGTCTCAAGACTTCTTCATTATCAATGTCCCACAAACAACCCAAAACCCTAAGGAAAATCCTGCTGCCATGCCTAAGTAAAACCACAGCATTTCACCATCATCTTCATCCTCGACCTCATCATCTCTGAATTCTGGTGCTGAACAGTTGGTTGGTAATGGAGACCTGCAAAGCTGAGAGTTACTTTCGTATATAGATGAATCATTGAAGGTTTGGAATTGGTTGGTTGATGGAATTGGTCCTGATAAGTTAGTGTATGACAGATTCAAGTGATTCAAGAAAGTCATGGAAGACATGCTTGGAGGAATCGGACCTGAAAGATGGTTATTTGAGAGGTCAAGAGTTTCTAACCGTTGCAGGCTTCCAATCCAGTCAGGAATCTTTCCAGTCAATTGAGTCCAAGACAAATTCAAGGTACCCAGGTATGTGAGATTAATCATCTCTTCTGGGATTTCTCCCTTTAAATTATTGCTTGACAGTTCTAAGACATTAACAATGCCAAGTGTGAGGTTGTACTCAAGTTGTCTTCCCTTCACGATCAAATCCATACTCTGACGATAGGAAACTGTGAAGTCTGGAGGATCCTGCTCATAGGAAGATGGAGCTTGCAAGCCACTTAAATTGCCAAGACACGTTGGAATGAAACTGGATAAATGATTATGAGCTAGATCTAAGATATGGAGATGAGGGAGGCGACATGGTTGTTCAGGAATGTTTCCATTGAACATGTTGCCTCTTAGTAACGCTGGCAGTATACTTCAGACAACCTATTTCCCCCAAGATCCAAAAGGATCAAACCTGTCCAGTTTTGTAAGGACGGGGAGAGTTCTCCAGAGAAGTTGTTGCTTAAGAATTTCAAAACTTGAAGGTAGGGTGAAAAACAATTTGAATCAGGAATGTCCCCAAACAGATTGTTTCTGGACAGGTCAAGGTGACTCAAACTCATTTCCTCCCAAGGAATATTGATATTTCCAGAAAAGATTATTTGAAAGAACAAGTGTTCCCAAATTCTTTAGGCTGGTTATGAATGGGGGAATGTTACCATGAAGTGAGTTACCAGAAAGGTTTAGGCCCGTTAACGATGACATTTCTTTACAGATATTCAGAGAGATGGGACCTAACAAAAAATTACTCTTTAAATTTAGTACACTCACATTATACCAAATTGGGAGCGAACCCTCCTAGAAATTGGAACTCAAATCAACCCAAGCACCTGATCTAAATTGCAATGAACTGGGGATTTCCCCAAATTGATTACCAAAGAGATCCTGCAAAAAACGATGAGGAGATAATTTCCCAAGCCAATTAGGAATCTTGCCTGAAATTGCCGCATTTTTCAAGGTCAGAATGGAAAGGCCTTTCCGAGTGCTTAGCCATTGAGGAAATGTGGAACCCAAATGGCAATCAACAATTTCAATGTCTTGAAGGCTAAAAGAGGAACCACTCATTTCTTATCTTGATAGCTAGAGACATTCTAATAGAATCTCTCCAACTTTTCAAGGCTCAAGAAATGAGTTTCAGACACAATATCTCTCCCAAGAATGCCATTTTAGATTCAGAGAAACTAATTTGATAACTGTCCAATGTATCAGGGATCGTCCCGTTCATTGCATTGGAACTCAAATCTAATGTCTCTAAATCATTCAAACTTCCAATAGATGATGGAATTGAACCGGAAAAGGAGTTGCTCTGAAGATATAGATATAGAGATCTCAAATGCTTGAAATGTCCAATTGACTCTGGTATCTGTCCACTGAATTTATTACCTACCAGTTGTAATGCCTCCAAACTAGCATTACAATATCCAGACAGACCTGCAACAAGATCAATGGGGCCTTTCATTCCAGAAATACTAAGGTCCAGGACCTCGAGAGTACTAATATTGGACAACCAGCGAGGCAAAAAATTGCTGAAATTATTATATCCAAGGCGAAGAATGCGAAGAGCAGTTAAATTCGTTGTTGGAAGAGAATCAGGAAACTTCTTAGATCTCGACAGATGCAATTGCGACAGACGAGGAAGCATATTAGCAACTTACCGCTTAAGCATGAAAACTTAAAACCCGCTAACTCTGTTAAATCACCAGGATCAATAAAGGTAGAATTTAATGGATTTTGAAGATGAAGCTTAATGACATGTCCTGTCTGCTCGCTGCAGCCTAGCTCGGACCATCTAATAGATTGGTTGTTATTAATGTGCAACAACCATTGACTATTGCACCAACCATGTGCACTCATCCAAGATGTCAAAGGTTGACAGCTATTATTGTTGAAGAAGAGCTGGAGTTGGCAGCCACCTTTGTTGAAGAAAAGCCTTCATAAATGGCTATAAATAGAGGCATATGTAAGAGAGCAAAATGTGTGAAGAGAATTATGAAAATGTGAAGATAGTAGAAAGGAAGAGAGAGCTGCAATGGCAGCAGCTGCAAGTGCAGCAAAGAGAGTTGAAAGTTGAGTATGAAAGGGTGTAATCCTCCTCCTCCGTGTATATGTTTTTATTCTTTCTCTATCTCTAAATATATTGACTTCTCCCGTGGATGTAGGCGGTTTTGCTGAACCACGTTAAATATTATGTCAGTGTGCTTGACTCTCCTATAAGCAAGTATCAGAACATCACCGGTCGGAATTTCTCAACACCATCCACAGCAATCTTTGCCAACCCAAGATGAAGCTCAATGACATGTCATGTCTTTAAGACCTTGTTTGAACCAAAGAAGTGCTTTCCTCTCAAGCTCAACGCATCCGGCAGCGGTGGAAATGCTGGAATTGGGACTCAGTTTAGTAGCTTCAAGGGAAACAAACTTTGAAAACAAGTAAAGAAAAATCAGAAATGAAAGCTGGAAGCAGGTTCTCTCTTTCACCATAAACGTTCTGACACAAAGACCTCTCAATGCAAATGTTTTTATAGATTATGACAACGAGGAAGGTGGCGTCTGGCATGCACATAGATGAGTTAATCTGTCAGCATTTACGCACTCCATAAGTCAACAACGAAGTGAAGATGACTATTACAAGTGTATGACCGTTAAAAACAGTACATCAGTCGAGTTAATGGCAATGATACTATTATTTATACGTAGAAAAATCAAGAAAATCATTATAATCCGCAAAACCTGGCCTTTCTAATCATATTAAAGGGGAGCTTGAACTGTGCGTCGTCCTCGAAGTTAAACCTTTATATATATATATATATATATATAAAATTTTATGTAAATAAATAAAATTCTATTCTCAAAATATACAATATGTTATGTAAAGTTGTATTTCATAAAAGCAAAATGCAACGTCATGAATGGAAATCAGATTTCATATCCCTGGGCTTATAAATCCTTTTAGATGATGGGCTTAAACTCTAGGTCAGTCCATATCCATTTTCCTTTGACCCCGGGCCCAGACCTTTACTTTCAGGACTGAACTGAACTGACTTCAATGTAAGTCAGTGGAAAAAAGAGAGAAAAAACAGAATACGAAGAAGAAGCGGAAAATGACTCCAGGCAGTAGCCGGAGGAATGCGCGAAGCAGAACGTCGTCCTCCACCGAACCAAACGACGGAGGCGACAATTCTTTTGGAAACACGAAACCTAGACGGAGAGATAGAAATAAAAACCAGAATTCGATTCGGATTTTGAACGTTGACATCAAAATCATGCTAGGAATTAGCGTTTTAGCTTTCTTCGTAATTTTTTTGGTGATTAATAATCTTATTATAAATCCTGCTGGAAAAGCAGTAAGGCCTAGGGTTATCACTCCATTTCCTTCTCCTAAACTCATGGACCTTCCTCAAGTAAGTAGTAATCGATTCCTCAACTAATCTCTTTATGTTTTTAATATACTTTTTGTTGATTAGATTAATTTCTCATGTTTTCAGTTTCAAGGAAAGCATAGAGAGAGCTTATATTGGGGAACTTATCGTCCTCATGTTTATTTTGGAATTCGCGCAAGGTATTCCATTGTGATAATGACTTTCTAATTTATTAAGTTTTTTTAGCGTTTTAAGGTTATTCCATTGTGCATGTAATTTTCGAATTGGAAATGGTGGATGCGGAATTGGTTGGCAGGACTCCTCGGTCTTTGATAGCTGGATTGATGTGGATTGGTGTGAAGGATGGGATGTATCATATGCGACATGTGTGTCAAGACTCTGATGAGCTTAGCACGTATGGCTGGACGCAGCATAATGGTCGTGATTTTGGAGATCAGGTGTTGGTTGATCAGGGATTGAAGTTAGCTACGAGTTTCTTGAAATCCAAGAGTGAAGGAAGTGGATATGGAGGTGATTGGGCCGTTCAAATTGATGTGCAAACTGATAAGTAATTGGCCTTACTCGTCACTTGAATGATTTCTCTGTTCAATTTGTATGGTGCGTTCTATGTATGTTTTTTTGCCACTAGTTGGATAGAGTGTTTAAATGAGAAAATTCTGGTAGCTAGTTTTTTAAGCTTCCTGATGCAGTTGGTGTTCCTCATGGTGATTTTGTAGATCCGAGAGGGATAATGAAATGCTGAGACATGGGCATTTGTTCTTCTATTTGGCTGATGAAAGTGGACATGTCCTAAATTTGGCAGGAGATACCTCAGACATCGATAA